TTATGTTTGTTTTTGCATGTAATAGAATTGTACATTAATTAGAAGAGAGAGAGAGAGAGAGAGAGAGAGAGAGATTGGGTTTTTGGTGTTAAAGATTTTTATTTCGGTTATTCTCTCATAAGTAATATTAGAAACGATTTGTTTTGCAATACTATTTATTTTTCTGCCCCAATATATACGCCAAACATAACTCGTAAATCAGTTATATTTCATATTTGGTATCTATTAATCATTTAATACACATTTTTTACAAAACATCTAATATTTTGTTTGTGTAATTTGTTTTAATTTTTAAACATTTTGTTTAATGTTTACTATACAACTAATACACAACAACTGTGTGTTTCTGGAGTAATTGATAGTACAAGTTATGCATGTATTTACATGAAAATTATGCAAAAATTGTTTTTACTGAGGTTAACTGCACACTGAATTTTATAAAATTTAAAATTAACTAAAATACAATTCTTGTACACAATTCTCGCACAAATAAGCAAATATTGTCATATATTGTGCACAACATCTAATACACGGTATTCTGTATATGCGACACAAACATGATATAACTCAAGTTATGCGATCAAATAATCTCTCTCTCTCTCTACACCCACTCTCAACTCTCATCCATTGACTTGCAATCAATCTTTTATATTCAATTTTTGCCACAAATTTCTTTTCATCTCTTCTTTTGATATCTAATACTAATAATTCATATTTGATAATAAATTCCATCACTTATTCATTAAACAATTGTATAATATATTGAATTATTTGTAATTTCTATCACAATAATATGGTCTGAAAGCAAATATACATTACATTTCGATTTTCACATACAATGTATAAAGAATATTCTTGAATTATATTACTTTAGTTGGAAATACATTTGCAACCATATTGCAAATAGTATCAGTGCTATCAGTGCTATAGCCCATCGCAGTACACATGATAAATCATTACTGAATGACACAAATTATTTATTTTTAGTTCTTGTGCATTGAAATCAGTGCAAAGATAAGAATGCAATCATATTTTTTATAAATACAAAATCTATAATACTATTCACTCAACTTTCTTTCCCAGCCTTTTATTCACTTATTTTAGTCCATAATTAATGTTTGTTTTGAATCAAATTCTAAATATAGTGTTCATTAAAGCGTGAATACAATACATATAACACATCGCTAATAATCTGAATGTTAATTTAGCTATAATTTTAATTTATTATTATTGTTAGTATATTTTATGTTTGTTTTTGCATGTAATAGAATTGTACATTAATTAGAAGAGAGAGAGAGAGAGAGAGAGAGAGATTGGGTTTTTGGTGTTAAAGATTTTTATTTCGGTTATTCTCTCATAAGTAATATTAGAAACGATTTGTTTTGCAATACTATTTATTTTTCTGCCAATGGGGTTCCCATAGACGGAGAAATTTCTTGAGAAATTTGTTAGAAATTTCTCGTAATTTTTGGAAATTTCTCATTTTACCCAACACTATGCTATAGCCCATCGCAGTACACATCATAGAATAAAAATCCCAATAATGATAAATCATATTGAATGACACAAATTATTTATTTTTAGTTTTTGTACATTGAAATCAGTGCAAAGATAAGAATGCAATGATATTTTTCATAAATACAAAATCTATAATACTATTCACTTAACTTTCTTTCCCAGCCTTTAATTCACTTATTTTAGTACATAATTAATGTTTGTTTTGAATCAAATTCTAAATATAGTGCTCATTAAAGCGTGAATACAATACATATAACACATCGCTAATAATCTGAATGTTAATTTAGCTATAATTTTAATTTATTATTATTGTTAGAATATTTTATGTTTGTTTTTTGCATGTAATAGAATTGTACATTAATTAGAAGAGAAAGCGAATTATTTTAATATTTATGATAAATATAATTGCCATACAATACAAGGGTTGTAAAATTTCTAATTAAGCACTTTATGTCTTGTATGTCAAAAATCTAAATGTAATTAAAATACTCGTCCAAACATCTAGTCTATCACAAACAGTGGCAATAACTTTAACATCAATTATTTTTATTAAAACTCTTAATTTGTGTTTTAGTGCTATTTGTAAGACTACACTAATTGCTGCCATAAAATGATAAGCATATTATATATGAAAGTAATATTTTTATCAATTATCTTAACACACAGAAAAGTTTTGCATACAATTCTCCAGTGAATATCACATATATTATTATATAATAGACGTATATATCTTTATAATTCAAATATCAAAATATATGTGCAAAAAACTATACCTGAAAAGTAAACCATAAGTTGACGATAAATGGGTGTTCAAGTCGTGCCAATAATTCAATTTCTCGCAACACATTCCTGAAGGCATCCCTTTCCAGGCACTGGGATTTACTCATGTATTTCATGGCATACATCTGCTGGGAATCCCTCTTCTGGACAATGCATACCTAAGCGCACAAAATACATAATATATGGTCAGTTTGGACAGTGAAAAATACAGTTAAATACTTTGACTTTAATGGCATTGCATTACAATGAATGTAAGAAAACAAAGGATTAGAGAGAGAGAGAGAGAGAGAGAGAGAGCAAATTATTTTAATATTTATGATAAATATAATTGCCATACAATACAAGGGTTGTAAAATTTCTAATTAAGCACTTTATGTCTTGTATGTCAAAAATCTAAATGTAATTAAAATACTCGTCCAAACATCT